ACAGAAACACTACGTATAGCCCACACCTGCTCCACTCTGGAGTCATTTACATCTAGATTAAAAAATATGATGCACATTTTGAGAGGCAATGGATATGAAGATAACTTCATTACTACCAATGTTATCAGATGCCTATATAAAAACAAGTTCATTTGTTATAAATATTCATTGAAAGAGAACCTTAAAAACATCCGCTTAATTGTTGAAAGCATTGTTGGTATTGATACAAATGGGTAATTAGTTATTGTATTCCTATTCTTACATTACAGCATTTTTAACGTTTTTATATCCATGACCGGTTCTTTAACGCGCTCCAATTTAACTGCGTACCTACATACTATTTCCGCATTTGGACTGTCCTAAAAATTATTCCTGTACATATATTTCCAGTTCATGACTCTACTAACATACAACTTATTGGTTACATTCCTTTCCACATACCTCTCATTCCATCCATCCCACCTCACTGAAGGAGCCTCAAGGGATGGATGGAATAAAGTGGTTCGTCTGAGTAGAGGCGAAACGAACCACTCTACTCTCTTTGTCAATCTCATGACTCACTCCCTTTATCTTTCTTACCTTTTGAATTTACCTCCCAAACGCCCGCTACGCCCGCCCGCCCACAAATGGACGACCGTTCCTGACATGAAGCGGCCGTGATGCTGCATGCATACATGGGTACACATATGCAGCCGTATCTTCGGTAGCGGTGATTGGTAAGATGCCTACGGGAAACTCGTCCGAAATCGATTTACAAGTCACTGAGAACGGAGGCTTTTTCTTCGCAGGATTTTGACCGTTTCACTCCGTTCTTTCGCCATTTCCCCACTATACAGCGCCCTACTAGCATTTTAGGCTAAGTAGGAAACCATCGTGCCAACTGCCTTTAACCACAGGAATCCACGTTGCTCTTCCGTCTGCACGCCTTCCATTCGCACCGTCCGCACAATCCCCTAAGAATTGTAGAAGTGATTTCTTTAACAGCAGTGGAGTGCGCACCTACCTCCACGAAAAGAGAAGAAAGAAAAGTATGACGAAAGTTTGGGGCGATCGAGTGATTCAACCGATGAGACCGTAACGTTATGTAGCCATGATAAACAAAATGTTGAATGAGGCGAATGCATACTGTGAAGGGATCCTGGTGTTCCGACTTTCTCCAAGCACTTTCGAGTCGCAAAAATAGGAGATTCTCTGCAATTGCAGACCAGCCATGTTGCGCAAGGAACAGCTTCTGAATGTCAGGCGTTCGTAGACTCTGTTTTCGATAAGTGGCGTCGAAGGAGGCCTTGTCAATTTCAGCTAGAGACACCGGGCACTATATTGGTTCCTGATCAACAACGTTCACAGCGTCAATTTGGCAGAGCGATCAGGCGCGTCAAGCAATCATCGGTCTTCAACTTCACTGTTGCTCTCTCTAGTAGCGAGTAGCCAACTTGCAAAAAGTGACCTACTCATTTTTCACATGAAAAGGTACTGTTCACTTTATGGCCCTGTTTGACGTTGAGCAAAGTTCTCGAAATGGGAAAAGTTTGTCTCTCCTGGGGGCACAACAACCACCTAACGGTCGGTTTCGCTATCATCCACTTTTCCAGAATGATCCATTTGATGAAACGCTCTGCGATGAACTAATTCGTGAAACCTCTATTAGGATGCCCAGAAAATTCCAGAAAGTAAAGTCTGCTGTAAAGCGTAGTAATAACAAAAGAATTGAAGAAACAATGATTGGGATAGTGCCTCCGCCCTCAATCACTACCTCTTCCCACTGCCCGGGCATTCAAGTGATGTCTTACTTCCAGAAGACGTTTGTTGACATCCTTGCCATTGTTCAATTTCTTGCTCGCTCCATTAGTGCAAACCTGTAAAGGCACTCTAAACTGCGGACATCACAAGGACTAGAGTTACGTGAACACGCGAGGTCGGAGAGTAAGTGATTCTCAGCTTTTCTAGTTCATCCCATTCGTCTTCTTGTTGCCTAGACGGGCGATGTCCATTAAGGCTGCATACGTCCCGCAGTGTACAGGGGGGGCCAAAAAAAAGTCATTTTGCCTCCATGACTTTCAAGGCGCTATAAGTTACACTTTATTAAATTTTTATCGGACATTTTTACTACCATATTAAAGAGCACATTAAATACTATAACGATACCCGCCACAGCCTTCTGGAGGAGCGCCATCGAGAGATTCGGCGCGAAAGTGAGTGGGTACCGGAGTTGAGCGAGATCGTTGATTTCTCCGCCACTGTAGACCACCCTGTTGAGCTCCGCCCGAACCGAGTAATTGAGGGGGTTTAGTTCAGGACCCCCGCTTAAATACTCCATCTTTTCCAGGTACTCAACGTTCTTCCATTCCAAGTAGGCGAAAGTTTTTCCAACGCCCTTCGATTAAATGTGTGATGTCATTGCAATCCTGTAGCAGTACAAAGTTTCCAAGAAGGTACGGGCGACGACATGAAGATGGGATATTCTCCTCGAGTTGCTCGATGTAGCCACCAGCGCACACCCTCAGTCTGGGGCCCACGAAGAAAATATCGGTTCATCCATTCCAGGTACGGCCGGTCCACACCATCAACCCGCGCCTTGGTGAATGGGTGAAGATGATGTCCTGGACCGTAGCGACGTTGCCGGAGCTGCCGAATGTTTGAAGGTCGTGCAGATTAAGAGTACTGGTCTCCAGGTAGCTATCCATGGGTGACTCCATTCAAGAAGTTCTGCAGCTGTTTGGAGGCCACGTGAATTCCAAAGGCGTTCTGCTACTTCAGGACGCGACTGAGATGACTTCATAGTTTTGGTGTTCCAGTGATGGGCGAGAGCCAGCTCCTGCTTATAGAGGAAGATCTTGGGTATCTTCCGCCCTGGTACTCATATCCACTTCCTCTGTCTGGGCTGCGAAAACTTCGCTCATATGTGACTCGGCCGGAATGACTTTTTTTTGCCCCCCCCCCCTGTACAAAGCGACCTATAGCGTAAACAAGCGTTCCAAGAGTCTGACAGCGTCAGAGATTAGGAAAATGTAGTTATCGATCTAGCGTCGCCGGTGTCTACTAGCACTACTCGCAGCGTTTCATCTGGCAGCGACCGCGACTGGAGAGCATGGGGAGGTAGGAGGTTCGTAAGCAGCTCGATAAGTAGTGAAGTTGCGCCGTGTGCAGCCTACCAATGCATTTGGGGAAAAATGTTTCACTGTTCTAATGTATTTTATTTCTATTCTACTTCTCGGCCGGCTAACAATTAGTAGAATAATATCCCTGAAACGGCCTTGAAGCTTTGATAATACTGAATCGAAAAAATATTTGGGGGTGTTGAGTGACGCGATGATTTTTGCAGCTTACGAAAAGGCAAAGTTTATACCCTGAGGCTAGCATAGATGAGGTGGCTGAAGAGTCAGGAAGTATGAAGAGGTGTTTATGTGTACTGCGGGCGATAACGAGGGAATTTCAACCCCTCTTAAAGGAAATAATGTTTTGCACCGACGTGTCTGTTGTACGCTTTCACTCTTGCTATGAGACGTATTTATCCTATTGATAAAAATACTTGTGAGAACAAGCAAGCAAAAACATGCATATATTTATGAACAAGTATCGAATAAGTGATCAATCTCACTTAATCGCCCGTAATAAATGTAACATCTAGAACGTTTTCAATTATAATGAGTGCTGAAGTGAACTCAAAGTCGAGCTTCTGTCAATAGCCTCCTTTAGTGCGTTTTCACTGATTAGCTCTTCGAAATCAAAATTGATCAATCAGTCATCGTTGTTGAGCTAGCCACCATCCATCTTACAGGTGCGTTTCCACTAAGTGTGACAAGTATAGCGGATCAGAGTGTCTCATCTAATATTTATGTTTGCCGCTAATTAGACTAGGCATTGACAGAAGCTTGGCTCGATTAGTAAAGCGCTTTAAGAACTCTAAAGGAACATTCCAGAAAGGAGATTGGTTGCGACACAGCGGATGAGACTAAGGCCTTAGTCTCATCCGACAATGATTGAGCGTCTGCTTTACAGCACTTTGTACGAGATCACCGGTGAAATACTCGTCCAACTTGAAGTACGTCACCACTCGAAGATAACGCTCGTGAAATTAGTCTGAAAACAAAGAAACTTGAGTAGCTCCCAAGAATATTTGACAAATCCTTACCGTGGGCTTTTCAATAGGACTCCCTGCATGGATGGCATCGCGATACCGATTTGCAGTATTTCGGTTAGTAATTTCTCAAGGAATTCAGCTCCGAACAGTCCGAGATCTCCAAATGATGCTTGGTCACGTCATTGAACACTGGAGCAATGCTACAGTTACTGTCAATAAGTACTAGAAATTTGACGCATACACGAATCTCCTTTGTGCGCGAGAGGTATCCCCTGAAGATCCCGCTCCCGTAATATACCCCCTCCCCTTTATTACGGTATGGTGCTAAGCTTTATTACGCCATAGTGCAAGCTTTCCTAGAGCTCCAATCCTTCGCAGTTAGCTTCTCGATGGAAGCTAAAGTGGATAATCCTACTATATTTATTAGTCCGCTAAGTCTGTGTGTGTGTGTGGTATGTGTGTTTTGACACGAAAATTCTAACTTCCTTTGATTTCATAGCAAGGAGCTCAAGTTTATGAGTGATGTAGGAGGTGGAACAGGAACACCAGTGGTGGGTGGCAGGAAGTGATAACAACTGATAAGATACCATAAAAGGCGTCAGAAGGGTTAGGCTGCGTTTATACTTTGCGGCAGCGTAGCGTAGCGCTTCCAGCGTACGCCAGCGGCAGTGCGGAGAAACGGAAAAACTCACCCATGCGCGTATGCGGCGCGGTTTCTTCACGGCGCCGCGGCGGCAGGGCGGAGCGAAAGGCGATGGCCCGCGTCTCCGGCGCTGTGCTACAACCCCAGGCCTCTTTTTATGTGGAAGGAAGAGGAGGGAAAAGTAGAGAGAGGAAGGGAGTTGAACAGATAGTGGGTGCACATGTGAATTAGTGGTAGTGGTAGGAGACCACAGAAAAGTCGACTATAAGGAATTACTTCAGTGAATGGCAGAACTGGCGGCATAGTTCCCTCCTATTGTGAAACGACGTAAAGAAAACGCAGCTTTACACAATAGTTCAGCCGAGCTTGGCAATATTGCTACAAACTTGTTTGGTGACCTTGAACGCCTACATACGTCACGTCCCATTCGAAGGGAATCATTCTGCCAGTTCCGCTGTTGACTGAAATAATACGCTCTGATTCTCGACTTTTCTGTATTCTCTGCTCACCATTACCACTAACTCACCTATGAGCGTTCACTATTTGTTCAATCCTCTTTTCTCTCCTCCTCCTTCCACATAATGGGGCATAAAAGGGGCTTCTGATTGAAGCACAGTGGCGGAGCGCAAGCGATCACCCTTCGCCCGCCCGTCGCCGCGGTGCCGTGAACAAACTGCGCCGCATACGCGCACGATTGAGTTTGTGGCCGGAGGGCCGGCAGTGCCGGGGAGAGATGGATACGCGATCTCTAGCGCTCCCAGCGTCACCAGCGTAACGCTAGCGTACGCCAGCGTTTCTCCAGCGTTTCACCAGCGTTTTGCTGGCGTTTGCAGCGGCAGGGGAGTAGAGACTATGTGGCCGTAAGAGACGCGCAATCGTTGTGTATTGTAGAGACTATGTGGCCGTCAGAGACGCGGAGTCGATGTGTATTGTAGAGACTGAGATCGAGCGGTGAGTGCGCGCAATCGATGTGTTTTGTACCCTCCAGCTCTCCCATAGTCTCTACTCCCCTGCCGCTGCAAACGCTAGCAAAACGCTGGTGAAACGCTGGAGAAACGCTAGGCGTACGCTAGCGTGACGCTGGTGACGCTGGAGATCGATATGCATCCTCTCCCCGGCACTGTGACGCACTGGGCGTACGCTGCGCGCTACGCTACGCTACGCTACCGCAAAGTATCAACGCAGCCGTTAGGTCACGGCAACTTCATATCTTGTAAACGCACATCAACGACGGGACATTTTTCTCCCCATGGTGAGATAGGGAAGGTGGAAGGAAAGTTTTGGTCATCTGTTGTGATTTTTTTCTCTTTTGTTTTCTGACCCATATTACTAATATACATAGAAATTAGTCAACAATATACCTCGATTAGGTCCTTTATACTTTGCGGCATTGCGTAGCGTAGCGGTAGCGCACGTAGCGTAGTCGCTTCCGCGTCAGCGCCAGCGGCAGTGCCGAAGAGAAGATGCATATCGATCTAGCTTCACCAGCGTCACCAGCGGCACGCTGGCGTACGCTAGCGTACGCCAGCGGCACGCTAGCGCACGCTGGCGTAGCGAGGGCATGGAAAGCATAGCTATCGATCTAGCTTCACCAGCGTTTCTCCAGCGTTTTCCCAGGGGCTTAGAGAGGGGCCTAGAGAGGGCAACTTGACGGAGGAGAGTACAAAGTACTCTCTCTCCGTCAAGTGCTCTCTAGGCCCCTCTCTAGCCTTGCAGCGACGAGGGCTAGAGAGGGGCTAGAGAGCACTGAACGGAGGAGAGTACTTTGTACTCTCCTCCGTCCAGTGCTCTCTAGCCCCTCTCTAGCCCCGCCGCTGGAAGCGCTGGGAAAACGCTGGAGAAACGCTGGTGAAGCTAGATCGATAGCTATGCTTCCCATGCCCTCGCTACGCCAGCGTGCGCTAGCGTGCCGCTGGTGACGCTGGTGAAGCTAGATCGATATGCATCTTCTCTTCGGCACTGCCGCTGGCGTACGCTGGAAGCGCTACGCTACGCTGCGCTACGCTACGCTACGCTGCCGCAAAGTATAAACGCAGCCTTATAGTTAGCCGCTACAGTGCTCCACCGAATGGACAGGTAAGCATTCCCCTCCTCTCTCGGAACTGAGAAGGCTGCGAGTAGAGTAAGTCAGCGCCCCCTCGACTGATGTCATCAAAGTTGCTGAAACTTTTCGCAGCTAAGAAAGCCTCAAAGCCAGCTCTGCTCCTCAATTATTTGGTAGGTCTTCACAGCAGGTTCGGTGTCTCGTGTACCACGAATGATGTGACCAGAAGCTAGTCTCGGTCATTTTTCTCCCACAATTTTCATTCGTTTCGGAGCTGACTCGCAAATTGGTGGCGATGATTCTTGTCTATCTTACGGGGGCAGCTCACTGTGGCAGCATCCCCTCGCGTCCAGGAGGCAGCACAGGAGAACCTTCTCTGGGATAACAGTCCGTTTGGACTGCAAAAGATGCTTCTCCTTTAGAGGGAAGCACGGTACTGTGTGGATTAGGATCATAGAGGACCCATCTCTCATCCCCACCGAGCAGTCTCTCGGTAACTCCTTCTGACGAGGGCGAGAAAGAGGAGACTGATCAAAGGGTACCCGCTGTACACAGCGTCCATGGTTCGAAGTATGAGTGATCGATCGAGGCCACTACCTTTTGAATAGACAGGAGCCCTAACAGGCGGGTGGACGACTGTTTAGTTAGTATATCCGAGTCTTGTTGCGGGTGGTCGACCTCTGCATCTCCCTATGTCTTGCTCGAGAATGGTGATCTGCTCATACTTCTTGGGCCGTCCCCAAACCAAGGTTTGTCTTTCGAGGATCGAGGCTCTTTGCGTGAAGTGGGGGGCGAGCGAACTAAAGTGACGATCTGAGGTAGCGTGTCCTCTCTGCATCTGTTCATGGTTGCGGACAGCTGCCGTACGCACAGGTGCCGCGGGGCCCACTGATAGATAGGATGACCCGAAGATTACTCCTGGGAACTAGCAATCAGTAAATTAAACCCAAAGAAGAGCAGGCGCCCTCATACCCTCTTGCAAGAAAGTCTCCAGAGTGGTACAAAGCACGGCAAGCATGGCATGTTACTTCATGTACGAGCCATGGGGAATGAAAACTGTTACTTTTGCCTCCGAACTGATAGAGACTTTTCCTTACCCAACCTATCATAAACATGGTGGGTGCGTCCGTGAAGTGATAAGCTGTGATCTTAAGAGAGTCACCATAAAAGCGTAGAGTGAGCGTCTAAAGAGAAGAGAATCGCCAATCAGAGAAATGATAAGAGCCACCGTCAGGTTGATACGTGAAATGCTTCACCATTTCTACGAAAGGATATAAGATATTCCACGATTTCTTCGGTATTGTTACCATCAAAACTCTTTCGACCGTATCCGTATTTCCAGCGACCGGAAGATGTTTTTAAAAGTGTGATAAGCACTAGGCAGTCGATCATTAATGAGAAGATATAATCGGAGATAGGTAGATTGAAAAAAAGATAAGCTAGAGTTGGTTGTGGGTTGCTGCAGATGTACTGTCATTTTTCAGTTGCACAGACTTAATCATGAGATGCGCGCAGAAATGCGAGTTAGCCAAACTGGCCAATCTAAAATAAAAAAGATGTGAGGTTAAAGACAGCAGGCAGGCGATGCCCGGCAGTCAATCGAATGCTTTTCGGGCGAGTGCGCTATCCGTTACGCGTAACGGATAGCGCACTCGCCCGGAAAGCGTGAGGTGCGGGTTCGACTCCCGCCTGGGGCACGACTTTTGCCCACAACTCAGCATTTTTGTGCTGATGACAATGTTTTCTTTCTGAGACTGCTTTTTGAGTACAAGCAATTTGTGAGTTGACTAACCTTCGTTTCGAGCAGCTTGAAATCAAGATTCTCAATTGTTGCATTACCGAGGATTCGTGAGCCATTGATCCACATGACTATGTTGGCTGTCATCGTAGTATCCGAGCGTATAATCTAAAAGAGGACATCAAGAATGATTCCGGACAAAGTTATTACCACGCCATGGTTTCCATCGACTACCAGACTTATGGTTCCCATCTTAAAGAGCGAAACCAACCATTTGCATTTGCAGCATTTTTCTATGCGCTTGCTCATCCTTTTTTCTGAATGGGAACAGGATTCACTGTTTTAGAATAGTCGGAATTCATGGAGAGCAGAACCGATAAGCTGTCAGAGAATGGGAGCGTGAACCAGATTCCAATGATGATTTTCATTACGATCGAGTTTCTTACTGGACAAAAGCGAAAGTAGTCAAGAATTTTTTTCGAGGTTCGACGTATTGAAGGAACTTTCTTGGACAAAATGCTATATTTAAATCAACCCTACGGTCACTTACCATCTCTTTAACTTGCGTCTCATTGGCCGGTCTCACAAACATGTTCATCCTTCCGTGCAGTCTGAATCTTGCTCGATTTTCAACAAATACGATCAGCGGAGCCTGAAAAAATGGCACTGAACAAACGAATTGTAAATAACTCAGTGGACATGTAACAATCTCAATTCCCCTGTAGTTCACCCGTCTGTGCAGCCTGCCTTGCTTAAGTTGCTTTGAATACAGCAGCCAGCCCAATTTGAATATTTCTCGAAATGCCGAATGAAAATGGGTGTGAAACTGAAGTACAAAAGAGAGGAAGAACCGAATTTGGTACCCATTTTGTCCACCGTATTTAGCTAGCAGGGTTCACAAGATATGTACCTTCAGGTCCTCAAAAAAAAGAGGACTAATCACTGTGGTAATCCGTTCATTTCGAGATAGGGGGCGCCTTAGATCAATTCCGCGGTGCAAGGGCATTCCCTTTTGTCCCAGCACCGTACGCATTGTAAGGGAAAATTGCGCTCTCAAAACGATTCGGTGCCACACAGCACACCGAATGGCAGCAAACGAAAAATCAGCTTGAGGGAAGGGTTTCAACGTTGATGCCCTCTCAGGAAAGCTGAGATTTTTAAGAGTGATAGGCACGTTCCGCTTTGCTGCAAAACGTCAAAGATTTCATGGAAATGACGTTAAGAGTTTTTTGAGAGAACTAAATCTGAGAAATGAATACCTTCCTCGCAGTGAACGCCACCTCAACCTCTCGATTTGGATACTGCTCACCGAGGGCGCCGAGAAATTCGCCGATGCAGAATCCACTTCCACAAGTCGTTTTGAGAAGATCCTAGAAATAAATCCTCCATGCAACTGAAAGTCTTCTAGTTGTAGGTAATACAGTTGATCAGTCGTGGCAGTGACTTTCTCAATGAGGCCACTCACGTTTTCTACCACTGGTTGTTATCTTCCTCAACCGTCCACTAATGACAGGAAATGCAGCGGAGGGTGGGCTCGTTCTAGACTTACCCCTTTCTACACTGATTGCGACGATATCAAGCTCATTTTAGCCACTTCTCTTTAGAGCATTGGGGTAATTTGCGTAAGCAAATTTCAAAAAAAGTAGAGAAACAGGTAGAACCTTTAGCTGTGGACTGCTTTCCGGACCGACGATCACATCCAGCAGATGTTGCCTATAGACGTGGTACAACATCGAGTTCGCTAAATAGTCTGATGCGTAGAATTCGATCATATGGACACCTGAACGAAAAATTATGGATAGGGTGATAGAAACGCAGTACATTAGCCTGATATAGAGCTCCTACCGTGAGGGTAGGGTATTCGAATGTTGGGCGGATAGAAAGGTGTTCCACCGTTGCCACGCCTGAAGAAAGCAACCGATAGTATCAATTGAATATTAGAAACATTCTAGGCGAAGGGGTGCAGCGGCAAGTGGCCCGCTTACCGCGCGCAGGCGTTCTGTGGCGCAAATCCCCGGAGGGGATCCCGTCCAAGTCATTGAA